ACAATCCGACTTGTTACTATTTGTAGCGTAGTGAAGCTCTGTTTCTGATGTCTACATGAGGAGATTCACACGTAAAAGCAACAAAGAGCTATTTCTAACTTTTACCCTTTCCCCAGGAAAGGTGCAGATTTACATCCTTCTTTTATGGTTTCTGTTTAGTAACGTCTTGCAGTTGATTTGCTGGCTGTCTTTTTTGCCCACTCAGCCCCGTTCAGCAGGCAAGGTGCATATTGCTGATTACCTAATGGTTACCACGTGCCATACGACGATGATTTTATTTTTTTGTTGCATGATTTGTGTTCACTTTTTTTGCATAGAGCCAGACCACAGCTCTTCCTTTTGAGACGCAGTGTCACTTTGCTTCCCATGCATGCCTGCTTGTAGCTTCCTGCTGCTTGCCTGAACCACCGAATGCTCTACTATGTTCGTTTGTGGACATGGCTCCTTCTGCTGTAGGACATTGCCCATTTTGCATTTCTGCTGAGGTAAGATTTATTATCACATTGCAGATGAATTCTACAAATTCACAAGCTAGGGCTTAAACACAGTAGAATACAGACATTTAGCTACAGGTAGTCTTTCATTAAAATGATGCTGATAAATGCAGAGTTAAACAGGCTTAATTTACTGTATTGTTACTTCCTTTTTTAGTCGGAAGCCGAGTCTGAAGGACAAAGTGTTTCCCAGTCCTTCTAAGGCTCCTGTGTCCAAGGGGAAAGCCCAGTCTCCAGGTGGAGCAGATGATGGTGCTGAAGCAAGCCCCAGCAAGGTCACCAAGAGCTGGAGCTTCACCGACAAGAACCGAGGGGCGAAAAATGCCTTCAAAGCTCGGGGCAGCACCTCGCGCCAAAACTCAGAGGGTGAGGAAACTGATCATCATCTGACCAGAATGAGTGTAGTAGTGTTGTGTAGTACACAATACACAGCCATACAGTGTAGAGACTTGGAGAATTCTATTATTGTAGGTGGGAAACCTCAGAAACTGTATTCAAACCATCATGAAAACTGTAGAAAATGGCAGACACTTATTAAAAGAGATGTGGGTGTTGTGAATATGAAACTACATTCAGGACATGGAGGCCCTAGCTTTTGTATGGAGCCTGAAAGCAGAGGTGAGCGGGTTGCTGCTTCCTCCTGTGTCTCATCTCTGTGCTCCGGCTTCACATTTAGCTTGCATACACAAACGTGATATCTAACGTTCCAGAAGAATTCAAGTTGAGTGCACTTCCCAAAATTTCCAGGAATTCATTTGAGCCAGTATGACCTTGGCTATTTGTTCAGAGACCAAACTTTAGGAGTCAAAATTATTTATATTAAAGAAAACTGAAAACAAAACCAACTAAATCTTATGTAACTATAACACTACTAGTAACACTAGCTCAATATACAATCATTGCCAGAAGTATACATACATTCATCATGGGCATAAATGGTAAGTGTGTGTTTTTAATGTTTTTTCTCAACTGTTCTGTTTCTGAAGTCCAGAAACACAAATTTTCAGTAGAGTTGATCGTTGGGGATTTGTCCATTCCTGAAGTTTAACAGTCCATTTCTAAACACTTGCAGATTCCAGGACAATCGGTTTAAACATACAAGTTATTCAGATGTGTCGCCAGTTTTCTAAGGTCCAGAGGAAGACCCAGACTGTCACCCTCAGATAAGACAAGAGAAAATTAGTTAGCATGTTCCTGAACAGCCCAGGAACCACAAAGGCTCAAACCAGACATTAACTGGAAACTGCTGTAAGGTACACAGTGAAGCAAGTTTACATCACTGTGGACTGAGGGGGTACCAGCCAAGAAGAAGCTCCTGTTTCAAAATCAAGCCCATCAAGCTCAACTGAAATATGCAGCTGCCCACATGGACAAGCTAAATGCCTTCTGGAGGAAGGTTTTATTGTCAGACAAGACAAAGGTTGAGCTATTTGGCCCCAGTGACAAGAGATGTTTGGAGGAGTTAAAGGTGAGGTGTTCAAACCTAACAACCCTGTATGAGCTGTCAAGCATGGTGGCGGTAGCATCATGCTCTGTAGCTGTTTTGATGCCAGCAGCACTGGTACTTTAAAGGATGAATAAAATGAATAAATGAGGACTGCCTATATATTTTTCAGCTGTATTAACATTACATTAAGATATTAAGCTTTTTGAATATACTTCCAAAAGCCCCAAACTCAGACTTATTGAAAATTTGGGAATTCTACTTAAAAGCCATAAGGTCCATACCAGGAAACAAACAAGTTTAAATATCCAGACACAATTATGTCATAAGCTAGGTGATAGCTACCAGGTATACCGTTATATGCAGTGTTGCCAACTTAGCGACTTTGTCGCTATATTTAGCGAGTTTTCAGACCCCTTAGTGACCTTTTTTCTAAAAAAGGTCGCTTAAAAAAGACGTGAAAGCGCGTATCGCTTTTATTCTCAACAAGCAGCGGGTGCTGTAACGCAGTCAGTTCTTCTTTTACTCTTTTACTCTTATGCTGTTTTGTGGATCACAAGGTTTAAAACTACTT